GCCAACGAGTAACCTGTTCTATGCCATGCTCAAATGCCACGCCCACTCCGTCTCAGGGATAAGGAGTGTAGAGAGCATAGCATAGTCTCTCCCACTGTCCCAATCTACCGTAGCGCTGTTACTCGCTGTTTGTCGTACTGGACACGGCAAAACTACGCCAAGAAACTCATTTATAGACGCGGGCCAGTTTTTGCTGCATGCGGCAAGAGCGCGGACCTAATGCACCACAGCGGCGGATCCTGCGGCCATCGTTTTTACAGGTCTAAACAAAGTGAGACCTGTTCATTAACATATACAAGTGAAAGCGAACTAGCGAAGTGCAAAATGCCCCTTCCAAGCCGATAACGTCCTCTTCTTTCAGCTGGAAGCGAGCAGTTCAATGTTGATGGCGATCGAAAGCAATGCAATGGACACTGAGGAGACTACTGCGGTGAGCTGAACTTGTTTAGATTTTCGTCTTCGTTTCAAAAATCCAATTAAGAGGTTGAGTTCAATACTTACTCCTATTCTTCTCTTTTATAGAGCATTTTTAGGCAAAAATGAGAGAACTGATGGAGGATAACCGAGATTTGAGGGACGAACTTCACGCCACAAGGGTAATCCTTCTGCTAAACTTACTGGTAACCCCTAACCCTTATACAGCGCTGTTCAGAGAGAACTGGATAAACTTCGTCAAATCGCTGAATCGATAAATTATGAAGAGAAAGAGGCAGAATTGGAGAAATTGCGATTGGAATTGATGGAAGCAACCAAGTAAGGCTGTCAGGCCAGTTATCACAAAACTGCTGAGTTACGGGCAAAGTCTTGACCTCCAGCTCGCTTGTGATAATTTCGGAGCGCGAACTGCTGTGTAGAACACTAGTTATCATAATTAAAAGGCAATTTTGAAAATTGGCTGATTTTGCCTCTGAATTAATTGTTAAAGAACTGCTCGATCACTGTTCGGAGAGATGACCTCCAAGACAACTTCAGCCGATCCGACCGTCACTTTCCAGCTCAGGATTATGCAACTGGAAACGCATCTGGAACAGGCAAATGAGAAGGTTTGTTCCATTCCATCCAGTACATTCGCGGTCCTCAAGGCCGAACCTCAAATTCCGTTACACTCGGCATAGTCTTCAAGGTCGGACCTCAAGATCCCACCCTGATAGTAGGGGCAGAGACAGCCTTTCGTGTTGCCTCCTCCTTCTAAGGGGGTGTAGGGAAAAGCGCTCCGCTGAGGAGGCATAGTGATTAGTGATTCTCTGTGCGATCGTCGATCATATTAGTGTCGCTGAAGGCCAAATGGTTGGCTGTCTCCACCCACCGACTGTGTAGGTTGCGGTCCCGAGCGGAAATTCAAGTGGAAACCCTGAGCATTGTGCTTGAGGAGGGTAAAACAACTCTGGCTTACGAGAAAAGTGGCCTTACAAATTGGAAAAGGGAAAGAAAACAGGGCTCTCAAAGCAATCAGGAGAGCCTGGAATTTCCTTTTATCGTAAAATGGAGTCCCTGTCATTGTCCCATCAGCGTTTCCTCCTCAGAGCAAATGCGAGGGAACAAAACAGATTTCAATAACTAATTATTCAATTAATTGCTCTGTAACGTTAGTTCCTACTTCACGCCGCGCAACACGGCGCTCGCCACGCGCGACCGATTACGCGCGACATTTGGGCTCCACGGCATTACCATTGGCAATTTACCCCGCAAGAGGAGAATCGAAACCCACTCCCCAGTACACCAAACGTAAGCGCCTTCACCTTACTGGGAGGTGAGTGAAGGCCTGATGGTCCACCCACGTCCCGCCCACGACTGCACAGATTGATGTTTTCTAAGTAAAGCCTAAACTCTCGGAAGGATCTAGCTATTTCAGGTCGCGGCACAGAAGAAAGCTATCGATGAGCTGGAAGAGACACTGAGTAAGCAAAGATGAGGTCAACAGTCAGCTATCAGCGGAACTCGAAAAAATCATGCAGGTTAGCCATCGTTTTCACGAATAAGCCCCCCCCCCCCTAAATTGGCGGATGAAGCAATTTCCTTGGCAAAACCGCAAAGCATTGTGCATTTGAACTGGTCTTTCTGAAAATCATAGTTGTAATTGAATCCTTTCCTAAGAATTCCTCAGTTTTTCGAAAGAATTCTCTGAAAGTGTGCCATTCCAGATGAAGTTTGGCGACGCAAGGGACGAGGTGAAGCGTCTAACAACTCAGATCTCATTCCGCGATAAGCAAATCGCTCAACTCTCCAACCTCTGCACAATGCTACAAATCGAGATCAGCAACTATACTGAAGCACCTCCGAAGCCATCAGGGCTATCGAGAAAAGAACAGGAAATCCAAACACTCAACGGCACTCAGCCGGATGTCGTTCCTCAGCAAAGCGTGGCAGCGACTGAGAAAAAGAAACCTAGAAAGACATCAAAGACCCGGCCAAGTACGGCGGCTGTTGCTGAGACTGAGCAAGCCATCAGGTCCACGCCGTGTGCTCAGCGAAGATGTCTGGGAACAACAGGCGCTTCTAATTGCAAGCCTCTACTCAGAACTTATGTTCATCATGGAGGTGAGATTGCCTGTTTGAGAAGTTTGAGCTATCTCTTCCTTCCCAAACAAACGTGTCTCTTCCAGGAACAAGAAGCGAAACAGAAACAGATGTCCGAAATGGAAACCGTACTCACCAATGGACGACGTGCAATGGATGACGCTAAATCGCAGTTGAAGGTTTGACCAATAAGACATTTACGCTTTTCATTCAGTTTTTGAACTTCTATCATGAGAAATTAGGTTAAATGGCGAGATCCTGTGACCCTTCCTCAAGTAGGAACCACCCAGCGTATATTGGGTGGTACGAGACCTGGCACTATGGCCAAAACCCACGGCGGGGACCCCCATCGGTCACAATCTCTTTTGTAAAATCAATCAGAAAATTGTATATTGATCATCGAACCTAAATTTTTGAGCAACAACTGCACAGTCCTGGATTTGTTCCTGCCACCAGTGAGGGAATGAGCGTGTCCTCCAGATGGTGTTTGGGCCAGCGGCGTAGAGTTCACCGATGCGACATCAAAGATGGCAGTTCGCGTAATCACACGTTCCAAGCCCGTTCCCTTCCACTTTTTTCGCATTCAAGAGTTTCCGTGCCATCCACCGCACGCGAGCGAGTTCACCTAACAAGGGACAGAGGAGCATGATGCACGGAGACGGCGGTATATGTTTGTCTGCTGGACATGTCATGCAATCGTTCCTTGAGGATCAGGGAAAGTCCTGCGTGTGGGACAAATTCAGTAAAATACGACCCTGAAAATACGAAATTTTTGCCCCTCCCCACTCGAAGAATTTAGTCGAATACGACCCTCACTTCGGAGTTTCCTTCTCATGATGCGACCTTCCCCCTTCCACGTGCTATCCTTCAAATTCTACTAAATTTCTACCACTTTTTTTTCAAAGTCCTCGTTTTTCCTTTGAAATCTTCCCCTCGACATATAACACGTGAAGTGAGCAGAGAAAAATGAAAAGCCGAACATATCTGTTCAAAAAGGCTTGTGCGAACCCTTCCTTCCGCCGACCAATATGACCCCATCCCTGGGGATACTCAACGTACACTGGGCTCTGAACTTCACCGTGTCCTTGACAATGACCGGTAGGGTTATCCAAGTAACCATCCACCTGATCACAAAACCAGTTGTTTATTAATTATAATTTATCCAAAACTTTACTGTGATACATGTGATGCCAATATCAGGCAAATATCTGACATAAAAATACATGACTGACATAAAAATACATGAGACGTATTTTTCATCATAATTTAAGGGAATCTTCTGACTTGCTATTCTTCTCACTGACGCTTTTCCTACACAGGTTCACCATTCTAAACAATTTTGAATTAAAGGTTAAAAATTGCGGAGAAGAAATTCAAACTAACCACATACCTCGATATCACGCGTTTTCGTGACTTATAGCCCGATCGACGGATAGCCGCTTTAATTTCTTCCTCCATGTCCTCTACAATCCGAATGTTTAAGGAAAAGAGAAAGATATAGAAAATGAAGGGCTAGAAAATAAAATTAATCTTATGTTTGGGCCTGTTCGGCTTGGGAGGTGGAATTTGTTTTTTCGCCATTCTTGTTGAATCGAAGTCCCTCCTTGGCAAGAGCTACATGTTACAGGAATTTGCAGGATCTTCACAAGAGTTTACAGGTCTCCAAAGGAGGCATCAACAGCGGCCTACGAGAATCAGCGAAATGCTCCCCCAAACCGAACGGCGCCCACTATGGGAATCAGTATAAATGAAGTCGAAAGGGACATTCCATATATTACAATTATTATTTTCTATACAAAAATATCTAGCAAAATTCTAATAAGGAATAAAAAAGTGAGGAAATTTTACTCTATTGTCACTCACCGCTCCCTGCATCGTAATGCTCGTTCATTAACTCTCTGAATATGTCAATAGGATTCTTCGCGCAGCGTAGCTCGGGTCATTCTTGACACTTCGAAGTTTCTTAAAAATCAAAATCAATATTTAAAAACGGAAAGCTGATATTTATTGTTTAATTTTACGCGTGGAGAATTACCGTGAACAAGTTCTACCCTTTTTTGTTCGCGCAATACTTTTGTGGGCTGGCATACGTGCCCCGATTCGGCATGGATTGTAAGAGATTCGTTTCCGATGCAACGCTAAGTAAAGTATATTAGGGCTAATTTAAATTTTTCAAGGAGGGGACAAGGATGGTACGCGTCTAAACGTTTGCAAGGGGAGCTAAATGGTTTAATGCGACAGATATACAATATGTCGAGTGAGCCACCCAGCACACATGTGGACCAGGGCACGTCCTGACGTTGGGGAGAAATGTTCCAAAATACTATCCGCCTGTCCCCAGCGGCAATAACGTCCCCACTCAACATCCGTGATGTCCGCAACGTAGCGGCGTGACTTGCCTGACAGCTGTACCCCTCTCAGGGATATAACTCAAACTCCACTTCAATGCCGCTTGCGCTATTCTGTTTTTTCAACCATTTCTCCTAACGTTCAGCTCTAGCCAGGGCCTTGGACAACCATACACCGATTGGAACTTTTTCGGCCACAGAGGGAAGAAAGTTGTAGGCAGTAAGGGGTCCTGGAATTCTCATGATAATCATCCACTCTTTCTTCCCGTTCTTACTAGGCTGCCTTTCTCCGAAGAATTGCTTCCGTGGAGGTGGTTCCGGCAATGCTCCCGTAGACCCTAGTGAACCTGAAAAACAAGGGTGAAGGGATGCATGCGAGGATGTGGGGTGTATTTGAGTGCACAGGGGGTTGGGCTGAGACGCGACGGTGATGGGTGCAGTGACAGGTCCCCAGACGAAATAAGAAGATGACGACGCAGGTGACTGAGGAAGCGAGGAGGGAGGTAAGGGGCTGGGGTGAGATGATGACGGTTCGGTCTTGACAGGAAGCATGGCTGGAACTGGAAGAAGTGGGCTAGAAAAATATGCGTCAACATTTTGAAAGTAGCCAAGGAACGCTGCAGAGCCAGATGGAATTGGAGGTTTAATGTCGGGAGGAGAAGGAGCTGCAAGGCGGGGAGGACGCGGTGAAGGAGCTGTTTCACGAATGTACGCTGAAGATGATGGGTCAGGAGACAGGATGAAAGGAGGCAGGGGCGCAAGGGCGAGGAGACGTTGAAGATGAAGGACCGTGCCAAATCTTTTAGCCGATCTGGGAAGTGGAGAGGAGGTGGCGCAAGGTGAGGCGGACCGTTATGGTGAAGGGCTAGGGCAGACGCCCTGAGATGAGGAAGATTCAGGGGTGGCGGAAGTGGAGAAGGAGGCGCGAGACGGGGAGGAGGGGTACGAGGCCTCTTCCGTGAACAAGGCGAAAGGATTGGAGGAAGTGGAGAAGGGAGGGCTGCGCGAGGATTCGTCGAGGGAGAAGACTGCCGGAAATGGTTTGTAGATGATGAAGTGAGAGTTGGTGGAGGTGGAGAAGGGGTTGCAAGACGTGAACGGCCTTCCATCGGAGGAGCGCGCTTAGAATTTGTTGCAGGGTCGAAGGCCTACTGGATGGGGCAATTGACGAAAGAGGTGCGTGAGGCTGAGGATGGGACGATGAAGGTGGAGGAGAGTGGTGGGAAGGTGTTGGGGAAGAATGTGTGAGAGGAGGAGCATCACCTAATGGAATAGGCGATGGGGACGAGCGAAGGGGACTCTGGAGACTCACACTTAAGGCGAGCAGGAACAGGTGAAGCGAAGCGAGGGGGTGGCGACTGACATGTGGGAGAAGGTGTAGGTTGCGGTTCCGAATGAAAAGGTAGTGGGGCTGGGTAACAATTACAGGGATAGGGAACAGGGTACGGAGGCATTGCATACGGAGGAAATGGATACAGAGGTGGAGGCGGAAAAGGGTAGTAAGAGGGTGGAAGTGCTGACTGTGAAGGAGGGTGTACATAAAAGGGGTACGGTGGAACTGGTGGTGGTGGATAGGGAGGTGGTGGGTAAGCACAAGCACTGTAGCCCTTATGAGGACTGTTTGGATTGTTTGCAGACATAGACACGACGCAGACTTGACACACACGAACAATAAGTTCCCAGATCGATTATCCCAGCTGCTTATATACTACCCCAGTGACCCTGGATTCTAGAGGTGTAGTTAGGTCAGGTAATTGGACTATCGCGCTCGATAGGTAGCGCCTGACCGTACCCACGGGTACCACTGGGCATTTAGTCAGAACTCATAACATGATGAGGCCGCCTCGTACCTTCTCTCACTAGCCATCGGGCAGAGCTCGATTAACTAGGTGGGTGAATGGTAGGCGCTTTCTGTTAGACTCCGTTAAGGCGGAATAACGGGGACGTTGCTTTACTTCTTCCGTCCTGTTAAGAAGGCACACCGGTTTCCTGTCCCCGCCTACCTGGTTGTCGTGGAGTATGCCTACATTCAGAAAGAATGTCTCAAATAGCTACAGCACAACGAAGTGAAGATTGAAGGGAGTGCAGAGAAAAAGATAGCAGAATAAAAGGAAAAGTCTAGAAATTTCAATTAAGAGTAAGAACTTACGGCGTGCATTAGTTGATTTTCTATTATATTACATTCGTTATCACTCAAGTCAGTCGGGGCGTGTCAGCGGGGCGTAAAATCCTTTGTGATCCTTCTATGATGTATTCCTTTGAGAATTTGAACAATTCCAGGAAGCCTTTGAAGAAATCTACCGCTTGAAAAAACACAACGGTAGCGTCGATGAGCCGGATAATGGACCAGACAACCAGCGAGGTCGAAGAATTGGCGGGTAGGAGAGAAGTTCCAAGGGCCTCATACCCGTTAACTCCACTCATCAGCCGTTAATCTTAACTAAACTATCAGTCACTTTGCATCCACGCATAACGCGCTCGTGGCACTTGAGCCTGGAAACGACGAACTGAAGAGATGCCCGAAACTGGAATAAAGCAACCAGAATCGAACGGATACTGGTAAGGCCGCAACTGTGGTATGACTAATTGGCAACTCTTTGTCGCCTACTCACCGACTCCTGCGGGACGCTAGGGCAGTCAGGGAAAGCTCGTATCAATGGAAAAGGGGTCGACAACTATTCAGCGTGGGAAACAAGGCTGGCGGAAGCTCAGGCTCCGCTTGACACGCCCGCCTTGGCCATCCCAATGAACTACATGCTATACCTATATCCTGGACCTATATCTGGACGTGGGAGGGAGTGTCTGTGTACTCCATTCAAACGTTTGTGTCTACTGCGCTTTGACGTAACATTGTCTTTTTTTGGAAAAAACTACCCTAAAATCCCATAGATAAGAGCGGTTTGATTTACCGGTGAAAAATGAATTGGAATGAAATTGAAATTGAATGCAGTCACCCCTCTAACTTGATGGATGGATAAATAAAAATCGGAGAAGAAGTTTAGAAGAAGCTCCGCCCCTCAACTCTAAACCCGCGCCCACTTAATAAACAATTTCATATAGAAAAATAGGCGATTTTATAAACGAATTTCTGCCGGAATCTCGTCTAGAAATGAAGGAATCTTGATCCCTGGATAGAACTTGAAGAGCCCATTCTATCAGTAAAATTCCATAGATAAGAGCGGTTTAATTTACCGGTGAAAAATGATTTTGAAAAAACATTTTTAAAATTTTATTTCACAACAATTCATTTCAAAACACATTTCACAACAAAACATTTCACAATATCACAATTTCACAATTTCACAATATAGAAAACAGTAAGAATAAAGGTAGAGTTGTAGGCTATTATTGCGATAATCATGAGCACACAACGCCAAAAAAACGTATACAAACGTCAATTTTCATTTTCTAGCACAAACCGCTCTTATCTATGGACCGCTCTTATCTATGGGATTTTAGGGTACTCAGTTTTTGTCCAGCGCGGGGAGTCCTAAAGCTACACCGCCCAAAAAACACAGTCCTAGTGCACCATGTTCGAATCAATCCCGCAGCCACGCCCATCTCCCCTCCCATCTCCAGGATACCTAATTAAGATACCAAGAAGCCCACTTCAGTATGAAATTACCCTTGAAAACCGGAGATTCTTTCAGTCTGTCTCGTTCAAATACACCGCCCTGAGAAGGGCCCGAATGCGCACGGCCGAACAATGTGATGGCGGAGGGCTGCGAGACCGAATGGTTGTGGTGGAAACACAAGCCGGAAAGCGTTGCGCTCAACTTCAGTACCAGCTGGTGAGGTCGCACTTTAAACGCTCCACCTCTAGCTTAATGAAAGTTTCCAGGACACGGCACTGATCGATTTGGCAGGTTGCCAAAGTCAGCTAGTCCGATCGATACCCATTGAGAAATACGAGAAACTGGCGGTTCGTTATAAGAAAGAGTGTGTTGCCGAAGTGCTGGACAGTGAGCTGGACGAGGTCCCGCGCGAGAATGTCATTTCGATCGCTGCGTCCACTGACCCGAAGACGGACGAGTTAGAGGCGAAGAACTCGTACCTGAAGGTGAGCTATAAAAACATGCCACGATAATCGAATGGGCGGAGATGGATGCGAACTGCGACAAATAGCAATAATGCCTTTCTCATAGCGGGGCTAACACGGTGAAAATAGCAGGTCCAATAAGTAAGGCAGATCTGTTGTGGTCTCCGCCCACCTGACCATCGCGGAATGTGCCTCTAAGAGCTGACTGATAATTTTATTGAGTTTCAACCAAAAAAAATTGTTTCCAGAAGATCGTCGAGGTGCTCAGCGAGCAGAATGACTTCTGGTCGAAAGAGACAGAGATCTTGCAAAACGAAAACGAAGAGCTGAAACGATTTGTCGAAGACATGGAGAACGAAGAGCGATCTCAAAAATATCCTGGGTATGTTCCGGTATTAAAAGGGTTTGCTAATCAATAAATACTTTTTCTAACGGCCCTCAGCCAAGCTATGAGCACTCTAGTCTACTGGCAAGAACGAAGAGGGGAGAAGATGCGTGGGAGAAAGGACTATCAAAACAACCAAAATTGATGGTTTTTTCGCGTGTGTGGCGAAAGTCCCTCTCACGCGTCGCGCGAATATGCCGCTCGTCGCGCGCGACATGTCTCGATGAAAATGACGCCTAACTCGCGCCGTGTAAAGAGCAGCTGGGCAGGACGTGCGACGTGGACAAACGCTGCACGATCGCATCATCCGTGTCCATGGAATAAATTTTCGAGAATTTTCGGGCTCAGAAACGAGTCAAATACATGGGAAACTTTTGAGTGCTACCTTTCTCTGCGCCCCGTTTCACCGAGCATGCACTTTACAGCGTCAATCGAGCAGCGGCTTTTGGAGACGATTCGAGAGCAACAAGAGGGCAGACGGGACCACGAACGGGAATTCAGAAAAGCTCGAGAAGCAGAAGGAGAGTTTGGCGAAAGGACGTAGAGAATGGGCTGCTGAACGGACGCGACTAGTCTTCTGCATCAGGACACTTCAAACAGCTCTTTCGGTACTGTCACCCTCTTTTGGTGACTGTTTTTCCTCCCAAAAATCAATATTTTTCAGACCGCCCATCTAAACTCAATGAATGGCCTGAACCTGAGTCAGATCGAAAAACTTAAGGCGAAGATTCGCGAAGTTCGTGAGAACGAATTGATTGCGGACCAAACGAAGAGCCAGGTAAGTCCTTTGCCGTGGCGCAGTTCGGCTTGGTAGGGGCACCAAATGGCACTTAACTTGTTCAGACTTCTGTAGCCACAGTGACTAACTTATACCACTTCGCGGTCTCTTAAAGGTTCATAGGTGCTAGTTGACGTGAACTAGCAAAAAGAACAAGGGAAAGTGCAAAATGTTTGCCCCCCCCCCCCAAAGTAGATTAGAGCTCTTAGCGATGATTTATCCATCAACTCACTTGTTCAAAACTGGGCTAGATTTTCGCTGAGATTTGTCAGCGTTGGCAGGTTTGGCCACATTTTTACCTAGGAGGCTCCCAGCATGGCTTTCGTGGGATATACAGTATATACCGTCGCAATAAGACAAGGCGGTGTCAGGGGGAATAGAATGAGCTCCACCCACAGCGTTTCCACCACTGGTTGTTTTCCTCCTAGATCGATCACTAGCCGACTGCTATTGGTACAGAAAGACGCCAAAGGCGGGCTCCTTCCGCCCCTCCTGACACCGCCTTGTCTTGTCTTCCCCCCCACTGATTGCGGCGATGTCAACTATAAATGTTCCCAGAGCCACCCAGTCACTTGCAGATTGAATCGCTCCGAAACGAACTAGAAGAACAGCTCACTGTGCAGAAGTCTATCCGAAAAGCTAGAGAAAATGTCAATGAAGAAAATGGTGAGGTTGCCAAGTTGGAACGGAGACTCCAAGCCGTTTACAGTAGTCTTGAGCTGCAAACGATAGCGAGCGATCGTGTGAAGAATACGGTAAGTGAATATCGTATGGAGCGATTCTGTAAGATTTAAAGGTGGAATATTGCAGTTGAATTCGAAAGAGCGACAGCTATCGGATTTGAAAGACGAGCTTGATGATGTGCGTAAGGAAAATGAACAGCTGTTGTTGGCCATTGCGAGCTCGAGCTTTTTCGCGAAGACCGCAGCAGAGCAGAAGAAGGCTGACGAGGTGACTGAACCTGTATCGAACCGAGAATCCAGCAGGCCGCCAATGATCGAGGAGCGGTCTATCTCAAGGGAAGGATCAGAAAGTAAGTGGGAATACTGGTGCTACGTGACTCGAGTAGACTGCTACTTTCCAGCTTCCACGACCGATTCTGATGGGGTAGCGGTGAAGACGATTCTCCAGGATAACTCCAAAGATTTCGAGAAACAACTGGCCAAGATGAAGGAAGCCGCCGAGATTTGCATACAGAATTACAAGGTTAGTCTTGA